TAGGATGATTTTCCTCATAATCTTTAAGAGGTAAGGCTAATAGGCATTTTTTCTTTTATTCATTTAGACCTCGGAATAAATCTTTGCTGCAAGTTTTTGCGTGCGTTTTAGCATTTCCTTTGCCATGCTTTTTTGGCCCAATTCAGTCTATACTTGCTTGATTATCCAGAATTTAGATTGATTCGTTGATATCTGTGTTACATTTGTATAACTTATATTATACAAGTTTTTACATTAGTTTTAATTTTAATTTTGAGTTGTATTATAAAAGATAATTTTTTTTAAATAATAAGTCTCAAACTTAAAATATTTTATTTTCATTAAAAAAAATTATTGAATTATTTAAGTTTTTACATTAGTTATATATATTTTTTGTATTCTTTATTTTGCAATTTAGACTCTAGGCTATATTAGGCTGCAGTCCAAGGGATGCTAGATGGGGGATACATGGAGAAATATAAACAAATGCTCGAAGTGGCCTGGCAATTTTTCATTCAAAAAGCTATTTTGACTGCAGAACCTGTTGGTGAATATGGCGTAGTTTTTGTCTCCAGGAATGGAGATAGTTCATGGACCAAATTCAATGTTATGATGATGAAAAAGAAAAAAAATGAACTCATTGCTTACAGGGATATCATCTGTCTGTAAAACAAAATTTATGCAGTAGGTTACATGGCTGATTACCTTGATATTTGGAATTTAAGAAGTTATCAAGTCGTAAAAATTAGAATAGTGATCCCTTGTTTTAGGGAATTGATTAAGAAGAGAGTAGAATTAGCAGATTTACCATCACGTTGTTGGCCTAACCGCCTAGGGGAAAATACGTAGTAGAATCCAAAGGAGAAATTCTTGTTGTGAGGTTTATGGTTGATGAAAAGAAAGAGTTTAAAAATGATTACTTAGGAGTGACAAAGATGTTCCAGGTGTTCAAGTTGGATGTAGTAGAGAAAAAATGAGTAGAGGTGAATTCCTTAGGGGACAGGTCTTTGTTTCTTGGTGGAAATCATTCAATTTCTATAGCCACAAACAATGATTGTGCAAGTTGCAAAGGGAATTCGATTTACTTCATGGGTGATTACTGGTTGCTGATCCATGTAGGGGGCGTGACAACAGAATATATAGTTTCGGTGATGGAAGTTGCTCACTAATTTATCAATCTGAGTCAAAAGAGGTCAAGCCAGCACCTTGGTGGATTGTTCCCCTCAAAATGCATGAGAAAATAAAAAATTGTTTGTTTTTACGTAAAACATATTTTACATAAAAATAAAAATATTGTTTTGAAAGAATTGATTCTTTCATCATATTAGCTTGTTCTGAGTTCACTGTTACGTTATGCCCTTTTTTTAACTATTTATGCTGGAAGAGTCTGCCTCTTCCGTATCATCTAACTCTAATAATATTCTTAAACCACCTCCTCTTCCAAGTAAAATCTACACAAGGAGTAAACATCCCAATAGGCCTCCAGAGTGTGGCTTTGTCCTCAAGGAAACAAAGAATGTATGGGACAAGCTTTTCAAAGAAGGATATCTTGGCTCATTCCTATGTTTTGGGGAGTTGCTTTTGCTTTACCTCTATAAAAATAGAGTGAAAGAGGAAAACAGCTCTTATCATGGACAACCATTTAACTAATGTTAGGGAACTTGGTTCATTCCTGTGTTTTGATGAGTAAATTGTCCCTTCTATTTTTATATACAGAGTGCTGCATCACCAATCTTGGGTAATGTTATCCAACAATCCAAAACTAAGCATGGCATGAGATGCATCAAGATTCCTGGAGCACCTTATGGAGTTGTCTATGCATTTTGTTTGTTTTCTATACTCATCTTGGTTAGTTCATTTCCATACAAATATCAGCAACAATTACTCAAAAAATGTTACTTTGAAAAAGACAAATTTCGCTCTTCAATTCTCACAATTTCTTTATGTAAAATACCTTACCAAATTAATCCACATCATGGTATGTACTTGAACAGATTCGGATCAGACTTGTCCCTCATAAGATACTCTCCCTGAATCAAAGTTTCAATTTGCATTTTGAATTCCCTGAGATGAAACTGCAAAAGCAACATTTAATTGTATTAACATCACTGTGTATAGCAAGCAACTTTTGTAACTTTCAAAGAGGAATAAAGTGCTTTCTTGGACCTTCAACTTGGAACGCAATTGCTCAAGACATTCCTTTGACAATTGTTGAAAATCCAAAACCTCACGCCTTTTCATTATCCTCATTATTGTGGCTCCAATGATATTTGATCTATAAATTCTATTCTGGACGTGCGTCTCATCATCTACAACTACGTTCTTCTCAAGTAAAGGAGGTATTGAAATCTTCAAGTTAAACGAAAGACAACATATAAGTTGATAAGAAGGAAAATAATGAATATCTAAAATAGGATAAAAAAATAGTACTTAACTTTGATCCTTTTCCTTCTATCTGTGAACTTTGAGTTGAATTCAAAGTAATCACTAAGAGATATGGTTTGTGTGTTTGGTTCCTTTTTAAGTATTTGATGCTTTACGCATGATAAAGGTTGTAGAACCCTCGCAAGATCCTTATTAGGCAACTTTAATGAAGCTTTGATGTTTGAATACGTAACCCTATCAAACTCATTAAAGAGTAGCAATGCACAAGCCTAAACATAAAACCCAAATTCAGAGTTGATAACAAAAAAATCCAATCCTAAGACAAGATTATTTGCAAAAAAAAAAGAAAAAAGAAGTTAACATATTACCTGAGTTGTAGTTACAACCAACTCTATACTTTTGGGCTCAAAATTGCCTATGAGCTTACAGTTCCCCAAGGAATTTATCCATGTAAGTTTTCTACGATTCATTTTTGTTTGATAAAACATAGTGAAACCTTTAACACATTTGACCTATGCAATGGAAATTTCAAAAAGAAAAGGTGTTAGATACACTTTAAGCACCATTTCAGCGCAAACAAAGAAGAAACTTGTGAAATCTTAAAGTCTAATCCTATTCTTTCGAGAATTAAACCCCCTTTTGCTTAAAAGGAGTGATGAATTTAATGATTCAAAGACTTAAAACCAGGTCATCAATTTGATAGGAAAAGGTGTAGAGTGTTAAGTGGAAAAATCTCATATCAATGATATAATAAAGAAGTTTGTTAGTTAAATGCAAGGAGGGTTACGTTCATAGTTAAGGAGTTAGTTAAATGCAAGGAGGGTTACGTTCATAGTTAAGGAGTTAGTTAAATGCAAGGAGGGTTACGTTCATAGTTAAGGAATAAAAAAAGTGCATAAAAATTGAGAGATGAAAATTGTGTAAAATCTTAAAGTTAAGGGATTACAAAAGTATATAAAAAATTGAGAGATAAAAATTATGTAAAATTTTAAAATTAATAGATCAAAATTGACATTTAACCAAAAATGAATTACGTTCTATTTGATGAAATAACTTTTGGAATGAAACAAAAAAAAAAAAATCATTGAAATACAATATCTTCTTTTCCATCAATCCCCCAGCCCATGGGAAAATCAAAAAAACAATCTTTACCTATTGTTTTCCTGTAGAACATAAAATTTATAAGGAGTAGAAATGAGAATCATCCTTGATATTCTGCTTAATGAAACTTGTAATATATTTTACAAACAGGAATATGTGTAAAATGGAAACAACTCATGCAAATTGATGCTTAAGTTTGTAAAAGAGACAAGCAAACTTTCAATTGCTTGAAGGTAAATATGCTTAATCCGGCCTTGCCATACAGGCAAATTTTCATGGAACTCATGGACATAAAATTTCTTCCCTGACAGAGAGTTGAGAACAAATGTTTTCTTGCTATTATTATTCAGGTGGTGATAAATTTCCATGGTGGTTGTCAATTACTAGCACAGAGAGATGTTTTTAACAAGAGATCTTCCCCAGTTATTCTCTTACAACAAGCCAGAAAAGTCCAAAGACAATTTTTGGTGCCAAGTCAGTTGATGAGGTTCTAAGTAAGAAAAAGACAGTATACAAAGTCACTTCAGAATCAATTGATATCTAAAATTGTTGAATCTAATTAAAGGGTATATAAGAGAATCACAAATCAACAGATATAAGGACATGAATAATGAGCGGCTAGACCTACTTCACGAACACAACAAATTAGGACTTGACCCTCTCAACTCTCAAGCATGTGCCATTCCCCCAAGTCCTAACTATACTTCCCCTCTTCGGAAACTCTCACTTTCAAGGGAACTCTCACTTTCAACAAACTAAGTGGGGGGATTTTGAGGAATGTGATATCAGCAGATGAGACCCCATAATTCAGGCTTGGGGAGACTTTGTGATTTGCATATGTCAATATAATATTATAAAATTATTTAGTAGAAAATGGCAGCACCATTTGCGAAGGATAATTATATAACAAAGCAAAGGAGAAGACAAGTTGGCGGTTCCTGGAAGCAATGCGCTGGTCTTTTCGAGTTGAGAATGCCAAAAGAACCGTTCATTTTTCATCATATAGGCTCCCACATTCATTACATGTCTTCCAATGATCAAGTTCCTGATTCCAATTTTGTTACAACCTTTGACAACTCGTGATAAAGATGAAAAAACAGTAGAACTTGCTGGTATATCCAATAAAAAACACAGAAAAAAATCTGAGCTTTTGAGGGATGGAAGGAATCTCCGTATTCAAATCAGTGGTTTTGTCAGCAATAGTGTTTGCACTATCATCCCAACGAAGTTTTTGAACCTCCCATTGATTTTGAACCTTTTCCTATTGGCCCTTGTAAGTAACAACTAATCAGGTTTCTGACTCAAAAAATTGTCACAATCTAAAGTTTCAAACTAGGCAGCAAAGGATTTGAATAAAAAATTAAATAAACACAAAGATTCAAATGCTAAACTAATTGCAAGTATGAAAATTTCAGAAGCCTTAAAAAAAAGGAAAAAAAAAAGGACTACCATCATTAGCACCTATGGTCATATTCTTGCCAGCAGAAAAACTATGTAAGCCTAGCAGCTAAAAATCGGAATTGGTAAATGACATGTTAAAAGCTTATCTTTTTTTAGTCCTTGATGTTGCACTCCCTACCGTGTTGCCTTGTAAGCACTTACTGAAACCATGGAACTCAAAAAAAGTTCTGCTGTATTCATACCATCAACCTTCATATTCTGAAATTCTTGTTTTTCTGAATCATACCAACAGAGTTTTTTAGATTTGCTCTGAAACAGAACTTTATCACCTCTACTTGAAAAGCCTAGAGGCTTCAGAACCTCACAGAATGACACATTTGAGATAAGAAATAGTTTAGTCCAGGATGACTCCGCCATGTAATTCCTCATCACCCATATTCTAACACCTAAACTCTCTTTACTTGTTACACAAAGGCAACCTCCAAGAGAACTCATTATGAGGCAACGTCCTCCTTGCTCTACTTGAATGTCACAAGGCAATGGTATTGTGTGAAAATACTCGGCTGAAAGGTCAAATGAAAGGATAAAATAGTATCTCCTGCCATCCTGCAGACGTGATTCTGCCAACCAATGTAGAGCAGTGCAAAGAAACACTCCATTTGGAGGGTCCAGTCCACCATAAAGGGTAACTGAAGGTGCAAGGGTATTTCCAATTCCAATTTCACTCCACCTATCATAACTTAGGCTATAAACCAGTACTTCATACATATTGCAACAACTGGAATCCTGAGGAGAACGGGAAAGGATTCTCACCACTTTATAATCATCATGGATTGAATCATAACCAAATCCATATGTGACTCTGATTTTCTCCCCATTCAAAAACTCTCTATCAGATGGAACTTCCCTAACATGGTAATCATTGATCAACATGTTCCCCACAACAATGTTATATTCAGAATTGGTAAAGCAAATCAACCCATTACATGAACCTCTTAAAACAACATTATCATGGGTCTTATGAAAAGGGTAATCATAGACATGTGGTAGAAAATTAAGAGAATCCATACCCTGCAACCTAAGCTCCTTATGGAATGGCCACCGATTGTATTTAACAAGTTCAAAAACAAGATTGAAATCACTTTTGATGCACTCTAAATGGGATTTCACAAAATATGGATCACTTAGCAAGGAACACCATGATTTTGATACACTTCTGAACCGTAGCAGACTCTTCACAGGTAACAGGAACAATATTTCACTGATCAAATCCATACACAGTGAAGCCATACTAAACATGGTTACAAAAATCTAGAATTTGTGAGACAAATAATAAACGCACTAAAAAAAAGAAAAAGAAAAAAAAAAAAAAGGTAAGAATAAGAACAAATAAAAAATTTTTGAACCTGAAGAAAAAAAAAGCCCTTAAATCGTAAAAACAAGGCAAGGCCCCGGCCCTGCCTTCCTCCTAAAAAAAAAAGAAAACTCCGAAAAAAAAACTCCGTTTCCAACGGAATTTCCAATCCCAATCCCGATCTCAATCCCAATCATAATCCTAATTATGAGTAATAAATAAGAAATCAATAATAAAATCTAAAACCCTAAGAGAAGAGAAAATTAGAAATAAATAAAAAATAAAGTATTGCTCAAGGGCCAACGTTTAACCATTACCCAATTTTTAAAGCAAAAGCACAGGTCCAGGGCAGCCGTACAACTACAATAACAAAAAGAAAATGGAAACACACACACATCAACCATACAAAAAAAAAAAAAAAAAAAAAAAGGAAAATTCCAACGGTTGAGAATTTACTAAAAAAGTGCACCAAAAAATTCTTTAAAAAGTGATTAGTAAAAAGAGGAAAGTATTTTTTTTTTCTACTAGACGGACAAAAATACTATGTTTAGGACTCAGTCTTTTTTATATTTTTGATAATTTGTCTGTGTAGAC